ATTGCCACACCCACCGAGTAGGAAACTTTGCCCCCGCTACTCTTCACTGGCTGACTGCTACTTCCTCGTGCGCACACGGCACCACTACTGGCCGTGGTGGTAGGCTGCAGTGGAGCTGGTGCTCTACTACTCCGTGGACGTTTGGCTCCACTGACACTGACACTGATGCGACCCTGCTGCTGTCTCCTGGGCAACCCACCGACTGTTTTTGCTCGCTGCCAAGCTGCCACCCTCTTCTCCTGATGATGCGGAAGAAATTGCCTGATGACGACGAGGCTGCCAAGTGCGATCAACCTCCTCATCATCAAGTAGGGTCTCCGCCTCACTACTAGCCCCCTCGGCTGCGTCTGGGTCAGGAGACAGACCTGTCTCTAGACCGGCTACCGAGCCACTCTCCTCGCCAGTACTTGTTTCGCTTGGCTGCTGAAAAGGCCGATGTCTCCCCCCCGTTCCTGACCGCCCCTCTGTTAGCTCTTCCTCACTGTACAGTGGGGCTGAGCCCACAGCATGCGATACTTCGCTTGGTGAGGGAACAGCAAAGGACAGGGGCAGGTAGAGGACACGTGATTTCAGTGGGCTTGGTCCTCCACTGGGCCATGCCAACTAACGGTTGTGTCTGACGTACCCACCGACCGTTGGCTGTAGGTGTCAGAGGTGACCTGGGAAGAGGAAGACGACCGAAGCCAACCAATCAATGACGGCAGGTTGTCGGTGGAGACACGACCGCTGGATGACACCGGGGAGCACTGGCCTCTGGCTGCGAATACTGCTGCTGCCCTCGACCCCTTCCTCTGCTGCCACGTCTGCTCTCGCTCCTAAAAAACATTGCCTCCTCTGCCACTCCTCTGTCTGCATGTTGTGTCTGACATACTATTTAATTCAACGATTAGGTGTCCCTGAGTAACAATTCTCTGGCACTCAGTAACAATTCTGTCTGTCCCTGAGTATGAATTCTGTGGCCCTGAGTAACAATTATGGTGTCTGTGCGAGTAACAATTCTGTGTCTGTGCAGTAACAATTCTGTGTCTGAGTAACAATTCTGTGTCTGTGCGAGTAACAATTCTCTGTGCCTGTGCGAGTAACAATTGTCTGTCTGCACCTCAGTAACAATTCTGTCACTCAGTAACAATTCTGTCTGTCCCTGAGTAACAATTCTCTGGCACTCAGTAACAATTCTGTCTGTCCCTGAGTATGAATTCTGTGGCCCTGAGTAACAATTCTGTGTCTGTGCGAGTAACAATCTCTGTGTCTGTGCAAGTAACAATTTTGTGTGTCTGTGCGAGTAACAATTCTCTGGCACTCAGTAACAATTCTGTCTGTCCCTGAGTAACAATTCTCTGGCACTCAGTAACAATTCTGTCTCTGTCCCTGAGTAACAATTCTGTGGCCCTGAGTAACAATTCTGTGTCTGTGCGAGTAACAATTCTGTGTCTGTGCAAAGTAACAATTTTGTGTCTGTGCGAGTAACAATTCTCTCAATTCTCTGGCACTCAGTAACAATTCTGTCTGTCCCTGAGTAACAATTCTCTGGCACTCAGTAACAATTCTGTCTGTCCCTGAGTAACAATTCTCTGGCACTCAGTAACAATTCTGTCTGTCCCTGAGTAAATCAATTCTGTGGCCCTGAGTAACAATTCTGTGTCTGTGCGAGTAACAATTCTGTGTCTGTGCAAGTAACAATTTTGTGTCTGTGCGAGTAACAATTCTCTGGCACTCAGTAACAATTCTGTCTGTCCCTGAGTAACAATTCTCTGGCACTCAGTAACAATTCTGTCTGTCCCTGAGTAACAATTCTCTGGCACTCAGTAACAATTCTGTCTGTCCCCTGAGTATGAATTCTGTGGCCCTGAGTAACAATTCTGTGTCTGTGCGAGTAACAATTCTGTCTGTCTGTGCAAGTAACAATTTTGTGTCTGTGCGAGTAACAATTCTCTGGCACTCAGTAACAATTCTGTCTGTCCCTGAGTACAATTCTCTGGCACTCAGTAACAATTCTGTCTGTCCCTGAGTAACAATTCTCTGGGCACTCAGTAACAATTCTGTCTGTCCCTGAGTAACATGAATTCTGTGGCCCTGAGTAACAATTCTGTGTGTCTGTGCGAGTAACAATTCTGTGTCTGTGCAAGTAACAATTTTGTGTCTGTGCGAGTAACAATTCTCTGGCACTCAGTAACAATTCTGTCTGTCCCTGAGTAACAATTAACTCTGGCACTCAGTAACAATTCTGTCTGTCCCTGAGTAACAATTCTCTGGCACTCAGTAACAATTCTGTCTGTCCCTGAGTATGAATTCTGTGGCCCTGAGTAACAATTCTGTGTCTGTGCGAGTAACAATTCTGTGTCTGTGCAAGTAACAATTTTGTGTCTGTGTGCGAGTAACAATTCTCTGGCACTCAGTAACAATTCTGTCTGTCCCTGAGTAACAATTCTCTGGCACTCAGTAACAATTCTGTCTGTCCCTGAGTAACAATTCTCTGGCACTCAGTAACAATTCTGTCTGTCCCTGAGTATGAATTCTGTGGCCCTGAGTAACAATTCTGTGTCTGTGCGAGTAACAATTCTGTGTCTGTGCAAGTAACAATTTTGTGTCTGTGCGAGTAACAATTCTCTGGCACTCAGTAACAATTCTGTCTGTCCCTGAAGTAACAATTCTCTGGCACTCAGTAACAATTCTGTCTGTCCCTGAGTAACAATTCTCTGGCACTCAATTCTGTAACAATTCTGTCTGGTCCCTGAGTAACAATTCTGTCTCTGGCACTCAGTAACAATTCTGTCTGTCCCCTGAGTAACAATTCTCTGGCACTCAGTAACAATTCTGTCTGTCCCTGAGTAACAATTCTGTGGCACCTGAGTAACAATTCTGTGTCTGTGTGCGAGTAACAATTCTGTGTCTGTGCAAGTAACAATTTTGTGTCTGTCCCTGAGTAACAAAAGTCTCTGGCACTCAGTAACAATTCTGTCTGTCCCTGAGTAACAATTCTCTGGCACTCAGTAACAATTCTGTCTGTCCCTGAGTAACAAATTCTCTGTGCACTCAGTAACAATTCTGTCTGTCCCTGAGTAACAATTCTGTGGCTGTGCTGAGTAACAATTCTGTGTCTGTGCCTGAGTAACAATTCTGTGTCTGTGCAAGTAACAATTCTGTGTCTGTGCGAGTAACAATTCTCTGGCACTCAGTAACAATTCTGTCTGTCCCTGAGTAACAATTCTCTGGCACTCAGTAACAATTCTGTCTGTCCCTGAGTAACAATTCTCTGGCACTCAGTAACAATTCTGTCTGTCCCTGAGTAACAATTCTCTGGCACTCAGTAACAATTCTGTCTGTCCCTGAGTAACAATTCTCTGGCACTCAGTAACAATTCTGTCTGTGGCCCTGAGTAACAATTCTGTCTGTCCCTGAGAATGAATTCTGTGGCCCTGAGTAAGAATTCTCTGGCACTCAGTAACAATTCTGTCTGTCCCTGAGTAACAATTCTCTGGCACTCAGTAAACAATTCTGTCTGTCCCTGAGTAACAATTCTCTGGCACTCAGTAACAATTCTGTCTGTCTGTCCCTGAGTCTAACATTCTGTGGCCCTGAGTAACAATTCTGTGTCCTGTCTGTTAAGTAACAATTCTGTGTCTGTGCAAGTAACAATTTTGTGTCTGTGCGAGTAACAATTCTCTGGCACTCAGTAACAAATCTTCTGTCTGTCCCTGAGTAACAATTCTCTGGCACTCAGTAACAAATTCTGTCTGTCCCTGAGTAACAATTCTCTGGCACTCAGTAACAATTCTGTCCTGAGTCCCTGAGTAACAATTCTGTGGCCCTGAGTAACAATTCTGTGTCTGTGCGAGTAACAATTCTGTGTCTGTGCAAGTAACAATTTCTGTGTAACAATTCTGTGCGAGTAACAATTCTCTCTGGCACTCAGTACACAATTCTGTCTGTCCCTGAGTAACAATTCTCTGGCACTCAGTAACAATTCTGTCTGTCCCTGAGTAACAATTCTCTGGCACTCAGTAACAATTCTGTCTGTCCCTGAGTAACAATTCTCTGGCACTCAGTAACAAATTCTGTCTGTCCCTGAGTAACAATTCTCTGGCACTCAGTAACAATTCTGTCTGTCCCTGAGTAACAATTCTGTCTGTCCCTGAGAATGAACAATTCTGTCTGCCCTGAGTAAGAATTCTCTGGGCACTCAGTAACAATTCTGTCTGTCCCTGAGTAACAATTCTCTGGCACTCAGTAACAATTCTGTCTGTCCCCTGAGTATGAATTCTGTGGCCCTGAGTAAGAATTCTCTGGCACTCAGTAACAATTCTGTCTGTCCCTGAGTAACAATTCTCTGGCACTCAGTAACAATTCTGTCTGTCCCTGAGTAAAAATTCTGTGGCCCTAAGATAACGTTTTCTGTGGCCCTAAGTAACAATTCTCTGGCACTGAGTAACAATTCTGTCTGTCCCTGAGTATGAATTCTGTGGCCCTAACTAGCGTTTCTTTGTCCCTAAATAACGATTCTGTGGCCCTCATAACAAGTCTGTGTCCCTGAGTAATGGATTCTCTGTCCCTAAGTAACTTCTCTCTGTCCCCAATTCTCGTTTCTGTGGCCCTAACTCTGTCCCTGTCCCTAGTACAGAGCGGTCTGCCTCTGTTCAATGACTGCAGGCAAATGAAGATTTCCAAAATGGCCGCTATATATACCTCGACCATTACACATGCTGGCTGGCTGGCTGCTGATTGGCTGATGCCATCACAATGTATCACATGTCGTTGAGGAATGCATTATGGGGCAGCGCGCCTTGTCTGCGCGCCTTCCCCGACATCCCCTCTGAGCTCCGTCGCCCGCACATGTCAGCCCGCCATTTTCGGAAAACAATTCTGCTTCTTTTCTTATCGATTCTGCTAGCGTCCGAATTAGGCTGTTTTAGTCGGATTCAGCACGAATCGAAATTTTTCTGTGGGCCGATATTCGACTCGAATTCCACTTCGGATACTTCGATTCGCTCATCTCTACTCATGTATATCTTAAAGCCATTACCCGACCTGAACTGTATCTGGATGGATGTGTTTTAATAAAGATCGTATCAGGCCGCATTCAGATACAGACTGACACTGTTTAATCTAGGGGAAACTTGTACGAGGAATGTACATGTCTGCTAGGAGCTAATAGGATGGGAAGCCTGCTCTCCACAGAGAGCTCACCATGGCAAAGGGGGAGGGGAGAACTGGTTTCCAGTATAGATAAAAGAAAAGGCTATGCTCCAATCAGGATGTACATTCTGTGTATAGACACTCCCCATTGCATTGTTCTGTGGGAGGGGATTGACCTGACCCTCGTGTGTGGGGGCGTGTATGTGCTTTAATAAAACAAGAGCCTGGGGTTGGACCTGGTCTCAGAGTGAATTCCAACTGCAACCAGAGAGTGTCGCCTGATCATTCCTGGGTAACTGGAGCTCCATTTCCCCACATCTCAAGATAGCTAACCCAGTTGGAGGCGCAGGAATCGTGGAGCTAAGCTGCAGTCGCGGTAAGCGAGATTCGCACAGCTTTATGGGGACATTTCTGCGCATTCCAACTGCGAGTACTCACGGTAAGGAAAAATTCGTTCAAAGCGAATTTCCAAGACACCCCTCTATCTTCCCTATCTCTCTTTTTCCCCTCCTCTTCCCTCGCACTCCTCTCTCTCGTTCCCCTTTCTCTCTCTTCCCTCTCTCTCCCCCCTCTCTTTTCTTCTCTCTCTCTCTCTTCCCTCTCTCTCTCCCCCCCCCCTCTTTTTCCCTGTCTCTCTCTCTTCCCCTCCCTCCCCTCTCTCTCTTCCCCTTTCTTTCTTCCCCCATCTCTCTTTTTCCCTCTCTCCCCCCCCCCCTCTCTCTCCTCTCTCCCTCCCCTCCCTCACTCTCCTCCCTCTTTCTCTTCCCCTCTCTCCCCCTCTATCTTCCTTCTCCCCTTTTCCCTCTCTCTCTTTCCCCCCCCCTCTCTCTCTCTCCCCCTTCTGTCTCTCCCCCCTCTTTCTCTCCCCCCCCCTCTCTCGCCCCTCCCTCATTCTCCACCCTCTCTCTTCCCCCTCTCTGTCTCCTCACTCTCTCTCTTCCCTCCCCTCTCTCTCTCCTCTTCCCCCTCTCTGTCTCCTCACTCTCTCCTCTTCCTCCCCCCTCTCCTGTCCCTTCCCCCTTTCTTTCTTTCCCCTATCTCCTCCCCCCTCTTTTCTCATCTCGCGCTTTCCCTCCTTCTCCCTCCCCTCCCCACCCTTCCTCCCCCCCCCTCTCTCTCGTCCCCCCACCCCCCCCTGTTTCCCCCCCACCCCCCTCCCCCCCCCTCCCCCCCCCCCCCGCTACCCCCCCCCTCTCTCTCCTTCACTCCCCCCCCCCCTCTCCTCCTCTCTCCCTTTTGTGTCTCCCTTTCTCTCCCCCCTCGCTTTCCCTCAATCTTCCCCCCCCCCCCCCCCTTTCCTTCTCTCAACTCTTCCCCCCCCCCCCCCTCCCCCATCCCTCCCCCTCCTCTCTTCCTCTCCCCCCCTCACCCCCTCCTCCCCCTCTCTCCCCCCCCCCCCCCCTCTTTCCCTTCCTTCCCCTCCCCCCCCTCTCCCCCTCTCTCCCCCCCGCTCCTTTCCCCCCCTCTCCCATTCACCCCCCTCTCTCTCTCTTCCTTCTTCTGTCTCTCCCTTGCTCTGGCCCCCCCCCATCTCTTTCTGTCTCTGTCTCTACCCCAGCTCCCCCTCCCTCCTTCTTTCTCTCCTCTCTTCCCTTTTTCCACTCTCTCTTCCCCCATCTACCCCCTTTCCCCCCCCCCTCCCTCTCTCTCCCTCCTTCTCTCTCTCTCCTTCTCTCTCCTCTCTCCTCTCTCTCCTCTCTCTCCTCCCCCCCCCCTCTCTCCGCCTCCCCTCTCCTCCCCCCCTTTCTCCCCCCCCCCTCCTCTCTCCCCCCCTCTCATCTCTCTCTCCCTTCCTTCTCTCTCTATCCCCCCCCTCTGTGTCTTCCTCCCTCTCTCCCTCCCTCTCTCCCTCACTCTCTCTCTACCCTCTCTCTTTCCCCCTCTCGCTTCCCCTCTCTCTCCCCCCCCCCCCCCTCTCCCCTCTCCCCCCTCTCTTTCTTCTGTCTCTCCCTTTCTCTCAATTCCCTCTCCTCTCTCTGTCTCCTCTCCCTCTCCTCCCTCGTTCTCTTCTCTTCTCCCTGTCTCCCCCCCAATCCCTCTTCCCCCTCTCCCCCCCACCTTTCTTCCCCCTCTCCCCCCCTCTATTTCTTCCCCCCTCTCCCCCCTCTCTCTCTTCTCTTCCCCCTATCCCCCCCTCTCTCTTTCCCCCCCTCTCTCCTCCTCCCCCCCCCCACTCGTCCCTTCCTTCTCCCCCTCTCCCCTCCCCCTCTCTTCCCCCTCTCTCCCCCCTCTTTCTTTTCTCTCCTCATCTCTCTCTCTCTCCCCCTCTCGCTCTCTCTCCTTCTCTCTCCTCCCTTTTTCTTCCCCCCATCTCTTCCCCCTCTCTCTCCCCCTCTCCCCTCTCCCCTCCCCCTCTCTATATACCCTCCCTAGGTTCTTCCCTCTCTTACCCTCCCCCTTTCTCTCTCTCTCTTCCCTCTCCTCTCTCTTCCCTCCCTCCCTCTCTTCCTTCTCTTTCTTCCCCCTCTCTCTCTTCTGTCTCTCCCCCTTTCTCTCTTCCTTCTCTCCCCTCTCTCTCTTCCCTCTCTCCCCTTCTCTCTCTCTCCTCGCTTCCCTCTCTCCCCCATCTCTTTCTTCCTCCCTCTCTCTCTCTCTCCTCCCTCTTGCTTCCCTCTCTCCCCATCTCTTTCTTCCTCCCTCTCTTTCTTCCTCCCTCTCTCTCTCCTCCCTCTCTTTTCCCTCTATCTTCCCTCTCTCACTTCATTTCTCAGATCGTAGGGGGCTGCACACACACACCTCCTCCAAGGGCTGTTGATCCCCGGGCAGCAGGAAGGAGGGGGGGAGAGTGTGTGCAGTCCCATGCGATCTGTCAGTGTAGGGAAGGAGACAGGGAGATCCCACAGAACACAGCTCACCTTTTCCGGGCTCTTTCATCTCCCCTACTTCTCCTCTCCCTGCCCAGGTTGTCCCCTGGTCCTGGCCTGTCAGCTATTGTAGTGAGAGTTACATGAGCCGACTCCCACATCGATCCTCCTGCTGTCCAGGCCACTGCAGATGTACCGAAGGTACCCCTCTGATGTTGGCCCTGCATGGCTTTTTGTGCCTTCTTTCAGGGGGCGGTGCCGCCCCCCTAAAAATTGCCACCCTAGGCAAACGCCTTGTTTGCCTCACGGTAGATACGGCCCTGTGTGGGGCTAAACCGGCAGGATTTTGAATCATTCCAGAGTTGCAGTGGTCGAGCAGAGTGTTAGTGATGCAGAGGACACTATCCATGACCATTCGGCAGTGATGCATACTCTGCGGGTTAAGGTCAAATACCTTCAGACCAGAGGAGAGGATGTGGAGAATCGCAGTAGGTGTAACAACCTCCGTGTGGTGGGTCTTCCTGAAGGGGCAGAGGTGACAATTCACCTCGGTTTACGGAGAATCTCCTTCGCTCCTTGCTGCCACGAGCCACTTTTATCACCTTCTTTGTGGTTGAGAGAACCCATCGAATGCTAGCAGCCAGGGGCTCGCCTGGTACACCACCACTCACCTTTATTTTCAAACTGCTTAACTACCAGGATTGCGATATGGCGCTAAGGGTGACCATGGCCCAGGGGGAACTGCATTATGAAAATCACAATTAATGCTGTTTTCCTGACTACTCAGTCGATACCCAACGGCAACGTCATTCCTTTGATGCTGTTAAGGCTCAACTACGGGCAAAAGGCCTTACTTATGGCATGTTGTTCCCTGCGAAGCTCAGAGTTCAAGATGGTGAAACCACACACTTCTTCACTGTGCCTGAGGAGGCAGCATCCTGGTTGGAAACCTTATGACCTCAGCGCTGATCTTGGTGCATCCTTGGAAGATTCGTTGATCAGCTACCTCTGTTCCGCTACGCAAGTTGCTTTTGGAATCTCATCATCCGTCTCACAAGTTGTAATTTAAGTTAGTGCCCTGATTTACCCCACTATCTACAACGCGGCATCTCTTCAATATGAGAGCTCTTCTGACTTGCTCTATGTACTCGCTCCATGGACATCCCCGAGGCCTGTTGCCTATTTTTGTTCAGGGAAGTATGACTCTCCCGGTTTTGGGGGGGGGGGGAGTGGGTTTTTTATGTTTTTTTAGGTGTTTTTTGTTTTTCTTCTCTGTTGTAAGGTGCATTTGATTGTTTATGTGCTTCAGTCTGTGCAGGGTATTCAGCTATTATACGACTTTTTCAGATGTCTGGTCTACAGTTTGCTGTTTTGGGGGTTTTTTTTTCTCGGGGTTCAGCTTGAGTGGTTACAAATTGGTTCTCCAATATTTATCTTATGGCACCCCCTGATCTAAAATGTATCTCCTGGAATGTGCGAAGCCTCAACTCCCCCGTTAAGCGCTACTTGGTTTTCGAATTTCTCAAATCCTATGCACATATTTGTATTTTGCAGGAAACCCATTTGACGGGTGTGATAGGAGTAACTTTGGGTGGGGGGCCCATGGGACACAGCCCCCTTTGGAGGGGTGGGGAGACCCCTGTCTCAGCTCTCCATATCCCTTTTATGTGTAAGTCATCCTGTGTCTGTTAGGGGTACAGGATGGAATATCCTGATATTGTGTAGACATGTATAGGTGGAGTGTGGGGGTTGTTCATTGTTTACTGCCATGTGATGCATCCCATTGTTCTATTGTGTGTCTGGCTTGGGAGCAAACTATTAAGAGATGTATGTGTTTTGTGTATTGGCTTGGTGGGGGGGGTCTGCTATGTGTCTCTTGTTACTAAATGTATTGCCCCGCCCTGTGTATATATCTTGTGTCTGTGTTAAAATAAAGCAGTCTATTTCCTGATTTTACTTCAAGTGGGTGTCCGTGGATCTGTGTTTCCATTAACTAGCGGTTTTTCTGACTATTATGCCAGATTGTATTCCTCCAGAGCTGCCTTTATGTCACTGGATTTGTCCTGATATCTGGATCAGGTTGACCTGTCGTCTCTCTGAGGTCCAGAGGGAGCGGTTGGAGGCACCGATTTCCCTGGAGGAGATCCAGCAGGTGTTTGGCGCTCTTCATTCGGGAAAGACGCCGGGCCTAGATGG